CGGTCCTGGGTGCTGCGATTCCCAAGGAAGCTGGAGGCAACAGAGTGTTGGGGCGAGTCCCGACGCCGCACAAAATATGGTCAAAGGTGCGTGCGAAACACTCAGGTGAATGGTCAGCTGCCCAATCTGCATTTTGGGATACTGCTATTGCTGGATCTTCAGCGCTCAGAGCGGCACTGATCAGAGCTGTGATGGATGAAGGCGCCAACGCCTTGTCTTTTGAGCATGCGACACTGTTCTTGGATCTCACTAAGTTCTACGGCTCGGTGTCTTTTGTGTTGCTGATGCAGGCTGGCTTGAATATCGGATTTCCAGCAATCATCCTCTTATCGGAAGTGGGTCTTTACTCTTCTCCCAGCCTTTTGAAGAAGGGCCAGATGATATCGGGCGCCTTGGTGGTTTCACGTTCGATCGTCGCTGGTTCTGGACATGGCGCTCCGCTCGCCAAAGTTATGCTTCATCAGTTGCTGGATGAGGTTAACCGTGCTTGTCCCCCGACTGGATTGTGGAGTTATATTGATGATATTGTCGGTCGGGCGGAGGGCAAAAAGCAGCAGGTGATTGATAATTTGGGCGCTTCTGCTGACGCTATGGCCACTGGGCTCAAGAAGCTCAGGTTGAAGATTTCTGACAAAACTTCTGATGAGATTGGTGTGGAGTTACAGCGACGACTGGTTCGCAAAGGTATCCCTGTGCAGTTTGTGCGCTCCACTGTCGACTTGGGCTCTGATGCTGCTGCAGGGCGGCGGCGGATAGCGCCTCGGATGATCAAACGACGTGCACAGGCTCGACGGCGGCAGCGAAAAGTTATGCGATTGAGGCAGCTTCCCAAGACCAGGTTCATCACCAAGAAGCTCTACAGCACTGGAGTGTTACCTGCTGCAGTCTTTGGCCATCAGATAATGGGCACCCCTCCATCTTCTCTGTTGGCTTTGAGGCGGGATGCTGCAGCGAGTGTTGCTGGGACGAAGCGTGGCAGGTGTTTGAACTCGGTATTACAAGCTGTGTTTGGGTTTCTGATCCTGGCATAGATTTGAGGAAGCAGATGATTAAGGGGTGGATTGCTTTGTGGCTTTCCCAGCCGATGCTCCATCCTCGCATTCGCAAGATGTGGCCGATCACACTGGCGAAGTTGCGTCGTGGCGCTGCTGAGCGACAGGTGGTGAAGTGGAAGGACGTGCGCGGCCCCGTCGCCGCGGTGCAGGCCGCGCTCTTGCAGATTGGCTGGGATCCGCAAAGTCCTGATGTCTGGTCACGTCCTTTGCCAGATGGTACGATCGATGATTGGCTGTTTCCTGCTTTTGGTGATGAGCAGTTCGCTACAGCTGTTCCTTCGCATTTTGAGGATATGCTCGGCGCATTCATGGATGATTGTGTTCAGCTGCAGTGGAGGGAAGCGGCCCACCATGAGGCGGGCGAGGATCTGGCAGCAGGAGCGGACATGACGACGGTGCAGATCGAGCTGAACCGCCTGGCTGCCAAGTCCAAGTTCGACGAGTGGGCCGCCGACATTGCCGTCATCTCGGGGGGCCAGTGGACTCGTGAGCGGAAGATAGCCGCAGGATATTCCTGCCCGCCGCTGTGCCCCCGATGTAAGGAGCAGCCTGAGACTTTAGCCCACCGCATTTGGCTATGCCCAGCCAATTGCGGACACGAAGATTTTTCAAAAACGGATTTTTTGACCCCCCCAGGCCCTTGCGGGCCTTGAGGCCCAGCCGGCCTTGTGGCTCAGGGGGGTGCACTCGAAGGACCTCGCGGTGCCTAGGTTTGTTGAGACTGCGGAAACGGCCCAGGAGGTCCTTCTGGGGGATGGCTGCATTGCCGACTTCTGCTCGGAGCCTGGAGGCCCTCCTGTGTTTATCTTCGGTGACGGATCTGGGGGCGAGTTCAGCTCTGATCCCAGGCGTAGGCGATGCGGCTCGGCTGTGGTGATGATGTGCCAGGACCCCTCGTCGCCGAATTCTTGGGTGCCTCAGCGCGGTGCAGGACAGGTTTTGTCAGGCCGTCGGCAAACGGTCCCTAGAGCAGAGCTCCAGGCCTTCTGTCTCGCGCTTGACCACTCGCAAGGTCCGTTATGCTATATTACCGACTGCAAGAGTTTGATTTCTGATTGGCACGGTGGCCGTGCCTCCCCCCCTCGGGGCCCGAACGGGGACTTGTGGGTTCGTGCTTCTCGGGCTCTCCGCTCCCGTGGCCCTGGGGAGGTTTCGCTTTTCTGGACGCCCTCCCACGCGGAGGAAAATCTGCAGTCGGTAACTTCCTCGTTTGATATTTTTATGTGCCAGGGCAACGCCAGTGCCGACGCCTATGCGGGGGTGGTGGCCCAGTGGTCTTGGGATTGGTGCGTGGTGGCCCCTCCCCCTCGGACTGACCTGTGGGATACGACGGCGGCACTGGTGCGTAGAAGGGCCAGAAGGGCGATGATCCTGGCGCTCGAGGTTGAACCTTGGGAAGGGGTCAGAGCTCCGCCAGCGCCCAAGGTCCGCAAGCCCACTAAATTCGACCAGGCGATCCGCGATAGTGCGCGCAAGTTTCGCCCGTTCGCTGGTCGCTGGCGTTGCGATGTCTGCAAGGTGATTGTCCCGAGGAGCCAGGTGCTCGCTGTCGCCTCGACCCCGTGCCGCGATCCGATCCCGTCGCTGCCGTCGGATTCGGCTGAAACGCTGGGTTTGAGCCCTGAGTTTGGAGAGGGTTTCAAAGCGATCTCGGGAGAGGTGTGGCGTGGCGCTGTGAAGCTTCACCCCAGCCACCGCCTCGCCAGGATGCGCGCGTTCGGGCTGACCTTCTGTCAGCGATGTGGTTTCACAGCCACGACAGACGGTCGGTGGCTTCAGAGAGTGTGCCCCCCCACTCGAAAGGGGGGGCGAAAACCTCAAGCGAATTAAACATGGTGGTTTTCCGTCTTATCGGGGCCCACCCGTGGCCTTGCGTGAGGCGGCGGCGCTGGATGCTCCTGCGCGTGCCCTCCCGCCACCCCCTCGGGAAGGAACTGGGGGCGTGGGTGGTGCCGTGAGGCCAATGGAGGAGAGGCCCGTTTTTGATGAGTATGTGGCCCGCTCGTCCGATCGCCCTGTCGGAGAGCTGGCCGACGTGATGACGGTCTGCGAGGACGCCCCACCCGTGGGCGAGGACGCGGCTGCTGCTTTTGCTGCCGCTGCCGCTCGCTTGCATGAGGAGAATGAGCTTGAGGAAGTCGCTGCCCAGCTCAGAGCCCAGGGTCAGGGGCAGACAGTGCTCGCTGGTGCTCGTGTGCAGGGGTTGGGCAGCGGTGATGATGATAGCGGTGACAGCGATTGAACTGGCCACGTGTGGCATCGCAGCATGATCCAGCATGATCCTCCTCCTCCTCCTCCTCCTCCTCCTCCTCCTCCTCGTCTTCCTCCTCATCCTCGTCTTCTCCGAACCATACAATAACAACTTGCGTGGAATCCCTCTCGGGCCCATCTTGGGGCTCTCTTGGGCCGCCTGTGGAGCCTCTTGTGATTTTGTGGGGGGCCTCGTCCCGTCGCTCGCTGGGAGTTTGACGTAGCTTCTCGGGAGCCTCTGAACCTGTCGGGGGCTTCCTGGAAGCAGGTTCGAAGCATTTTGGGGGCCGATTTGGGGCTTCTCGGGGCCTCCTTTGGGCCTCTTGGGGGTCTCCTGGGGCCTCTTGAGGGGCCTCCTTGGGGCCTCCTGGCGGCCTCTTGGGGCGGAAGGCTCGAGCTTGCGGTTCGTGGTCCCCCTCTGGGCCCCCTCTTGGGCCCGTCTTGGGGCCCTCTTGGGCCATCTTGGGCGCCTCTTGGGCCGTCTTGGGGCCCTCTTGGGCTGTCCTGGGGCCCTCTTGGAAGCTTCTTGGGCCGTCTTGGGGCGGTCTTGGGCGCCTCTTGGGCCGTCCTGTAACGTCGGAAAGCCCAAAAGGCGACTTTGTGAAAAATGTACGTTTTACGAAGGGAATGGGCCAATTTTTGCGTCTAGGGGCCCTCTTGGGACGCATGTTGGAAGCTTCTTGGGGCGTCTTGGGGGCGTCCTTGGACGTCTGGGGTCTCCTGGGGCCTCTTGAGGGGCCTCCTGGGGGCCTCCTGGCGGCCTCTTGGGGCGGAAGGCTCGAGCTTGCGGTTCGTGGTCCCCCTCTGGGCCCCCTCTTGGGCCCGTCTTGGGGCCCTCTTGGGCCATCTTGGGCGCCTCTTGGGCCGTCTTGGGGCCCTCTTGGGCTGTCCTGGGGCCCTCTTGGAAGCTTCTTGGGCCGTCTTGGGGCGGTCTTGGGCGCCTCTTGGGCCGTCCTGTAACGTCGGAAAGCCCAAAAGGCGACTTTGTTGAAAAATGTACGTTTTACGAAGGGAATGGGCCAATTTTTGCGTCTAGGGGCCCTCTTGGGACGCATGTTGGAGGCTTCTTGGGGCGTCTTGGGGGCGTCCTTGGACGTCTGGGGTCTCCTTGGGCCTCTTGAGGGGCCTCCTTGGGGCCTCCTGGCGGCCTCTTGGGGCGGAAAGCTCGAGCTTGCGGTTCGTGGTCCCCCTCTGGGCCCCCTCTTGGGCCCGTCTTGGGGCCCTCTTGGGCCATCTTGGGCGCCTCTTGGGCCGTCTTGGGGCCCTCTTGGGCTGTCCTGGGGCCCTCTTGGAAGCTTCTTTGGCCGTCTTGGGGCGGTCTTGGGCGCCTCTTGGGCCGTCCTGTAACGTCGGAAAGCCCAAAAGACAACTTTGTGAAAAATGTACGTTTTACGAAAGGAATGGGCCAATGTTTGCGTCTAGGGGCCCTCTTGGGACGCATGTTGGAGGCTTCTTGGGGCCTTTGGGGGGCGTCCTTGGACGTCTGGAGGCCATCTTCAGCATCTCGGAGCCCTCTTGGAGGCCTCTTGGAAGTTTCTTGGGCCGTCTTGGGCGCTCCTGGGGCCGTCTTGTCTGACCGGGGAGGCCTCCGGCAAGCCCCGGCGAGCCTCCGGGCCCCCCGGAGCCCACATTTGCGGTCGGGGTCCCGGCCCCGGGCCCCCGGACCCGGTGCGCCGTTATATGTATAAAGGATGCTTCAGGCATCAAATCATGCAATCACAATAGAGGCCCGTGTCCGGGCAGATACTAGCAAATGGCCCGTGGCCGGGCACGCGCAGACTGCGATTCAGCTGCGTGTGTGCAGTATCATCGGACTTTTGCTGGCGTGACTCTCCAAACTTTAGCTCAACGGTTGCCGAAACAATTGGAAAGCTGGTCATGGAAATCGGAAGCCGGAAAAGGTACAAAGATGCCAAAGGCCGTCCGATGAAGATCAATTGATATGGTTTCCATTGTTTGCCGCTGTGCAGGGCTGAGACATTCACCTGGTGAATCTTGTTCTCGTTTGACGTTGGCGTGTGCCACCTTTGCTCCCTGGAACCAAGCACAAGCCCTCGGAGCTCCAAGGTCATCGCACGCAATATTTGCCAAAAGGGAGGAGTCCAAGCTGTGCATCACTACGTCAGAAAAATGGGCCGCGTATCTACTGTACACTGACGTCGGAGAACGATTTGCTGCCCACTCCTCCATTACTGAATCGGTCAACCAAGAAGCGAAACCTGCTTTTGAAATTGTTTTTGCATTTAGTTGCCGGTAGACGCTTGCGATCCATTCGTAGAAAGGTCGATAAACCACGACGATTTTAGTAGCCACGTGCCTTAAATCAGAGGCGAGCTGCGCGATATGGCATGGCGTGGAGAAAATCTCACTTGACATCACCACGTGATGGGAGGTACCCCTGAGCTTGTCAATGTACTCTAGCCAATCCAAACAAGTTTGGGTTTGATTTACACCCCATGGAATTCTCTTCTTGCTATAGCACGAAGCTACGTTGGCGACTTGAGCCTCCTTCTGCGCTTTTTCTTTCAAACTTCCGAATTGTCTAGGGCGCAGGAATGTCCAACCGTCTTCTTCCAGCAGGGACGCCGCGTGAGACAACTCCCATTGAACTGTTGTCGTAGCGGTCTTGTGGGGTCCAACGTGAATTACAACAGTTGCGCCATTATATTTCGACTTACTATCTTCCCCCATTACCAGTCCGTACAGAATGAAATATGCTGATCGTACTCCCCGATGCATAGGCATAACGCCGCAATAAAGCAAAGACACCTAAATATTGGAGTGCCGCAGAAACGAATGACTCAAATAATGACGTGCTTGCGCCAAACTTGAGCCACAATGGCTTGAGCCAAAAATGGCTACGGACGATGACGAGAAGCACGTGGAGGAGGAGAAGGAGGACGATCCCAGAACTCCGACGGCGTGCCTTTTCATGACGTGGACCCCTGGAGATCTGGACCCCTTCCCCAAGACCAGACTTTCATCCCGAGTCATTTTCTGGCGCTCTCGGGGCCAAGTGAGCGCCAACGGAGGTCGAAACTTCCCCTCTCCTAAAAAAAAACACGCAGTGGATGAGTATCGTCGGGTTGAGAGTGCCCCGCCCCTGGGAAAACGAAGGAGGTACCCATGCTGCTACTCCCCGGACCTCTCCCGGGGCGCGTTCTGACCAGAATTTCGAGGCGAATCCAGCGGTGGCGACGAGGGCATCCCAGGAGGCCCAGAAAGGCGGAAACGAGGCAAGGGTGGCGGTGTCGGTACCTTTCCCTCCTCTAATCGGCTACACGCGAAAATGATCATAGTCAAGAGTGACCTCTGGTGCGCGGCTTTAGGGGGCCGCCGGGGGGCCCAGCTCCACGCGCGCGGCCCAGTGCTCGGGGATCCCCATGCGGGCCCGCACCAAGGGCCACTCCGGCGGAAGGCCACTCTTACGCGTGGCCGATCTACGGTCAGGAACTGTTGCATAGCGTGTGGCGGCGGCGGCCCCGGCGATACGCTGTGCCTTGCGAGCGAATTGCGCGTCGCTCCGCTCCGCGGGCCGGGAGGCTGGGAACAGCTCAGGACATTGACGCCTGGGGACTGGGGAGAGGATACCGTATCGCGCCGAAGCGCGGTGGGCCAGAAAAGACAGAGCGATACGCTATCATAAAGTTCCCGACCGTAAACTCTCGGAGGTCGGCGCGGACGTCGGCGACGTCAGCTATGCATCGGCGACGTCGGCGTGGAGAAATTCGGGCTCCGCATCGAGCCGCATCGTCGACTCATCGTCGATGCGGCGCGAACCTCCGACCCCTTTCACTCGGACCTCATCCGGGAGGCCTAGAAACACGCGAAGCCAAAATTACCGACCGCAAGCCCCCGACCGACTGTACAGTAGGAGCTCGACCACAAGAAACCTTCCACAAAGAAACCCGACCCTGAGACCCCAGGACGTCCATTGGTTTTTGCTTTGGGAACGTCACGCATTCCACAGCATAACCATCGAAACCCAAGAAACCCAGGGCACCCTGGAGGCAAGCAGGTTGTTTCTTGGCATGGGCTTCCACTGTGTGGGCGGCATGCAAACAGCATCGGATAGCATTCTGCTTCGAACGATCTCCGCCCGAGAACGCGAGGCGGGAGCACCCAAGGAGCACAGGCTCCCCTTGGGCCTGGCGACCGCGGCATGACGTCGCTATTCGTCGAGGACACGGGGTGGGATCGCCAGGGAACACTGGCACACTTTGGGCCTGGCGGCCCAGGGTGCTTCTTGGCATTGGTTTCCACTGCAAGGTGAGGCTTAGGTCGGGCATGTCTCCCTTCAGGCCAATTCTGAACGAAAACTCAAAAGACCACAAGAATACCCCAGGAATGCTCCAAAACGGCCGAAAAATCCTCCTCTGACTATATGCTTTCCTGTGCTTGAAAATCCCCCCTGCACAGGGACAGGCCCGACTTCATGCCAGGCACAATAATACCCCAGGAATGCTCCAAAACGGTCGACAAATCATCCCCTGACTATTTTTTCCTGTGCTTGAAAATCCCCCCTGTACAGGGACAGGCCCGACTTCACGCCAGGCCCAGGCTTCGCCCCTGCCCGGCCGACCGCGCCGAGGCCCACCTGCGGGCAGCCCTCCAGCCGCACGGCCGTGAGGCGGCCGCCGCCGGCCGCCGCCAGCCCGGCGACGAACTCCTGCGCCGCGCTGGGCCGCAGGGTCGTCTTCACCGTGGACGACGGCGACGACGACGACGACGACGACGACGACGACGACGGCGACAACGGCGACGCCGCCAGCCCAGCGACGAACTCCTGCTCCGCGCGGGCCGTGGGTGTCGGCTTCCCGAGAAGGCACTCCGCCGATTGGGAAGGCCTTGCGGCTGGTGCCGCCGACCTTGAAGGGGGACGACGACGACGACGACGACGACGACGACGACGACGACGACGACGGCGACGACGACGACGGCGACGAGGACGACGACGACGACGACGACGACGGCGACGCCTCCTCGACGGATTGCATCGTCCAATCGCAACGGTGTAGGGGCCGATCTCGGCCCCGGGGGGACAGTCCCTGGGCCGCACAAAGGGGATCTGGGGCGGGATGCTGTCCCCGACGAAGGTGGTCGGCACCTCTGAAGCCCGTGGGTTGACGAGTCACCCTGGCGACAACTTTTTCCAAACGCGTAAAACCAGCAACAGCAACGTCCACGGATTGTTGTTTCCGGTCACAGCGGTTTTTATCGATCTCGGCCCCAGGGGGACCCCTGGGCCGCAAAAATGCAATCTGGGACGGAAGACTGTCCCAGAGGATGTGGGTCGGGACCTCTGCAGCCCGTGGATTAACAAATCACCCTGTCGATAACCATTTCCAAACGAGTAGAAACCAGCAACAGCACCGTCCAATGCACAAGAACTCGTTGGGGGCTCCGCAGTGCCCCAGGAAGCTTCGCCGGAAGCCTCCGGAGATCACCAGGGGCCCGGACCCTGAAACTTCAAGGTTCGAACCTCGACGCTGGAACTTCTACGATCGAACTTCGACGATCGAGCATCTTAGCTGCAACTTCAAAACACCGTCGCAAGATTGAACTTCCATGCGAACGCACCAACTGGGGCCCTCAGTGGGAGTCCGTATAGGGCTACACAGCATGTGAGGGGTATGCCGAAAACGCCATGCTGGCGCAGCCACACCGGACTTCGGTGGAGCTCCCGATATGGCCGCGGAAAGGGCGAGGGGTGTGCCGAGATGAGGCGTGGCGCCGAGCGAACGCAGCCACTGAAGCCTTCGGTGGAGCTCCCTATGGGACCACCAGACGCGCAAAGAATGTGCCGAAAAAGACCCGAAACAGCACTCGGACGCAGCCACTGGGGCCTTCAGTGGAGTTCCCTCCCCTTGGGGCCACGAAACGTGTGAGGGGTGTTCCGAAACGGGGGCGGGGCACCATGCGCAGCCACTGGGGCTTTCGGTGAAGCTCCCCATTGGGGCCACGAAACAGTAGGGCGGGGCACCATGCGCACGCGGCCACTCTGGTGCCGCGAGTGGAGCTCCCTTTGGGGTCACGGGACATGCTATCAATATGAACGCTCCATACAAAATAAAGCATTGCGAGATATGCAGAACTCTGAGATTCTTCGCCTAAGAATGTCGGGCCACGTGCGTTTCACACCTGCGCAGGAGTGGGCAACTTAGGACAGCACAATGCGCCACGAGACGTTCCGGCGCTCTGCGCTCTGTGATGCAACAGCGCCGCACGATAAATGACGAGACGGCGCTACGCGCCATGTGGGCACGCGCCATGTGGGCGCCCTGCACGCCGCCGCACCTCCCAGGAACCCACAAAAAGGGGCAACGGTTCCGCAATTCGCAACTGGGGCAGCCTCGAGGTCTCAAATACTCCGCAATGCCCTGCACGCCGCCGCGCCTCCAAGGAGCCCACGAAAAAGGCGACAGCCGCGAGGTCTCATTCTGCGTTGCCTTCCATTCCGCCGTGCCTGTCAAAGCTCACGAAAATTGCGACGGCTGCGCAATTCGAAGCAACCAAGAGAGCCGCGAGGCCCCGTCTGGGTTCTCGCACAACTCCACGCTGCTGGACCTCCAAGAGGCCCACGAAAGTGACGACGTTTGCGCAATTCGCAGCTGCCCAGGGGGCCGCGAGGTCTCGGCTGGGTGCGCGTACAACTCCACTCCGGTGGACGTCCCAGAAGCCCACGGAAGTAGCGACAATGGCGCAGTTCGCAGCCACCCAGGAAGCCGCGAGGTCACGTCTTGATGCGCGTACAACTCCACTCCGCTGGACCTCCCAAAAGCAAACGAAAATGGCGACAGTGGCGCAATTCGAAGCCACACAGGGATGCGCGAGGTCTCGGCTGGATGCGCGTACGACCCCACTGCGCCGTGCCTCTCAGGAGCCCACGCAAGTGGCGACGGTTGCGCAATTCGCAATATCAAAGAAGCTGCGAGGTCCCGTCTGGGTGCGCACAACTCCACTCTGGTGACCTCCAAGGGGTCCACGAAAATGGCGACAGCTGCGCAGTCGGCAGCCTCCAAGAAGAGGAGGAGGAGGAGGAGGAGCGAGGAGCAGGAGGACGAGGAGGAGG